ACGGAAATGTTTACTGTTATTTTATTATTTTTGTACCTATATATATATATATTTATATATTTTTTTTTTTTGCAAAAACTATAACTGTAATAAGAGGCAAGATAAATAATCATAAGTTCACCAAAATAAGTTTTTGTGGTTAAAAGAGGAAAGGAACAAGGATATGTATTAATATAATCGTTAAAAATGCTGTATTTTATTTTTTTTATGATAAAATTAAATCATAGGTTTTTTAATTTTAGCTATGAGTTTTTATTTGCAAATAAAACTAGGTATGTAAGGTTTACTTTAAAATATGAAGGATAATTTATATCCAAATCTCGAAGTATGGATAATTTCATTAACTACTAAAGTAGTTTATTGGATTATAAACTGTATTACATGTTGATTGTTGTAGGCAAGAGTGATAGAACTTGGATTAATAGAATTATAGTATATTGATTAAACAAAAGTTTATTACATTTCACACATTGTTTATACACTTGTATGCTCACTAATAATTGTATTGTATAAACAAATGTATATAAATATCGGCTGAATTTATGAATAAAACAGTATGTTAATAATATTAAACTTGATATATGTAAGTGGATATTGAAATAAAATTTTAGGTATACATTTATGAGTATTATTTGTTTTGTTATTTTTAGTCTTTTTTTTTTTTGTATTGAACTATCTGTATTGTACAATTATAGCTCGATAATTACAAGTAAAATATTAGAATAGTTATAATACGATTTAGTGTTAGTAATTTTCAAGTTTTGTTTTGGAAAGAACATCTTTCGTGAACGCACGTTCACATGTTCATGTACAAATCTTGTGATCGATACAAGAACGTCACTCTTTTTCTTCAAGTAGAACTTGACGTTTTTGTTTTTAATGAATTTTAACGATTTTTGGGGTGTTTATTTATATATTTATTTATCACTTTAAAAATATATGAATTAATAATGATTATTGATTGTATGTTTAAAAATAGGGTTTAAACATAAAGTAAAATATACCTAAAACATTTTGTAAAGGTCTCATGTACAAAAAATGCTGGTTGGTGATTCATAAATAAAAAATAAATAATTTAAATGAACGTGTTTATTTTTTTTAAAGAACTTGAACGTGAACGTGTTTCCAAAAAAAAGAACATGAACGTGAACGAGTTTTTTTTTTATTCACTGAATTTTTATGTGAACGTTCCGAACACTGATATTTATTAAAGTAAATGTAAATAAAATACTACTAAATTTATAGACTAATGGAATATATTAAAATGTAATACATTTTTGATATGTAAAAATAATTTTTATTTAATTTATTATAGATATTTATAGATTGGTTTTATGTGAGTTTCTATTGGTTGATGAATTATTGATTATTTATTTGTAATTATCAATATTATTTTATTGCAAGTTGCACATTATATATTTTTAATTTTAAGAAATGTATAATTGTAGAATCATACAATAATAGTTTTTTTTAAAAAAAAGGAAATTCGATTTATCATCAAAATAATCATAATTCAGAGAATGGTAAATATTATCGTATTCCATGTATCTTAAATATGAGTAGTCTATTTACAAACGCAATTTGTTCTTCTTAATGGAAACCGTCCAAGAATAATTAATACATTCAGTAGTATAGTTGACTGACCCTGGAACTAAAATAACATTTGTGGCTAAACCTTTACGTTGATGCTACGGATAACTTTTGGTTTTCATTAGCCAAGGGTCTTATGACTATGTATATTCAATTTCGAAGCATCTGAACATTGTTTCCATTCTCCAAAACAACAGCTTATTTAATATATAAAATATCTTAAAATACCCGAATTTATCATGGTAGTGTTTGATTATAAGGAAATACAAATTCATATATATTTTTAAAGATATATTTGCTTACGAAATAACTTAAAACTACCGCTAAATTATTTGTGATTTATTAGAATATTATGGCTAAGAAAAATGCTATCAAAATAGTCATCTATATTAAATTAAAAGTTAACTGTCGGCGTTTTTTTTTTTCTTATAGTAATTTGATATGTTTATTATAGAAATTAAAATGTAATTATACATATAAATTAAGACTCATATTTGTTATATGATATCGAAAAAGTATAAAATTTTAGGTTTTATAATTTTTTTTTTCTTTATTTCTTTATTCTTTTTCAATTCGTGGGAAAGGGCAATTGGTTTTCTCGAATTTATTTAATACGTTTTATGAGTAAAACAAATATGAAATACACATATATTTTTATTTGTGTTATAAATTGAAAAATCTGGACGGTTTAATCATTTTATTTCAAATAATTATATTCTTTATTTTTAAAATCTAAATATAATATTATATATTTAATAGGAACATAAAGTCGTGATTTTTATTGCAAAAATAATTTAATTAAATTGATTTCAGTCCCGTAAAACTAAAATACTGAATTAAAACAAAACACTGTACATAACTTTTAAAACATTTAAGACATACTTAAATGCTATACTGCTATGATATAAGATTTATGAAATTATTTTGAAAACCTTTTAAAAACTGATTGACTTACTATACATTTTAATTTTATGGTGATATCACTTATTGTATACACTGTATATTTTATACTACACAGGTCTAGGATCAAAATGGTTATAGATACACAACGGTTAAATATGATTTGCTAAAGTTAATAAAAATATATATTTCTTAGACGCAATTAGCTGGGGACATAAGGGAGCTCAGCCTCCAAATATTTATTTACCCCCACATAATAGTGGTACATAAACAAAATAAAAAATAAGAATAATATATTAAAGTGATAGTAAAAAAAAAAACCCGAAAACACAATCCTAGTTTTACCTTTGAATGTATCTATAATTACTTTTCTAGTTGTTTATTTTAAATAAAAGTTCGGTTGCATTTTTGAATCGATTTTTTCTGCCCGTACGGTTTACGGGCTTATCAAAATAAAAATATCATTTAAACATGCGAAATAAAGCGTTCGACGAGATGATGGAATTCATATGGTGTTGCGGCACGTTATTAATTTTTTTTTGTTTGTTGTTTTACATCTGTTCTCATTTGAGAACAACGATGGATCGTGCATATCATGCATGCAGACGATTGTGAACCAGCGAAAGGTATACGGTCCAAAAGTCGCCTGACAGCGTACAGTAGACCTACTGTGTATTTTGTTCATTTGTTCTCATGGTTTTGAATGACCGTTTGCAAAAATTCAAAGCACTTAATTTGTTATCGAAATAAAGTACCATTACGTTTCGGGTGGTACGTAGGTGCAAATAAATAAATAATTTAAAATAAATAATGTAAAACCAAACAAACTGGAGCGACGGTTATACACTTGAATTGTTAATACCTGTTTATCCGATCCCGTTGCATTATTATTTACTGTAAAATGTTGCCGCCAGCGTACGTATTCAGTTGTTAGTAGCTATAACGTTTCGGTAATGGGTGTTGCATGATCGATGAAAAACCCGGAATCGTCTGCGTTGACATTAACATTTTTATCAGGTCCCGCGTGTAAACGTTTTAAACAACCGTCAATATTGCCGCGAGATTTACAACGACGCAACGTAATTATGTTAAACGAGAAATGAGATGAATACATCTACTTAAATGTTTATATACGCTCGTTGATAGGTACTTTTTGAAAATAACCAAACATTATTAAACGTTGTATTTCGAAAATACAAAAACATAATAATAACATATCCAACAATGCCGTTCGGAATATAAAAACGTTAACGCCCCGACGTGTAAAAAAGTAAACGTATTTTTTGTATTTTCACTTGCTTTTTTCAATAACGGTATGAATGAGGGAACTATGCAGTCGTACACATTTTTTTTTCCCCGAACGCGTTTCGGGAAAAATGATAAAAACCAAAAGTTTCTGCTTTATTTATTTTCTCATCAGTTTAAACTTTCTGAGACTACGTATTTAAATGTTTATTTATGTAAATATATGTACGTATGGGGTAATACGTTATAGGAAATTTGAGCAACCTCGTATTTTTACGGAACAACTAGTTGCGGTCTTTTTTCGGTGAAGTGACCCGTAAAGAATTTATTCACGAGATTCCCTACACCCGTATACTATGTAATGTAGTTTTCTTTAATATTTAACCGCCGATTAAACGTTAGATTTCATGAAATCAAACGCAATTTATTTTTACAAACATTTACGAGAAAGTACGAAATCATCATAAAAATAAAACGATTGAAATTGCTGCCGAAAAATAGCAACAACATCACTTGCCGTAGTTGCTCGTTGCGAATTAAAATACGTAGCGTAGCAGTTGTTGTTTTTCGGCGTTCCTTGACGGACGACTTTGCAAGAAACCAACAACGAATCCACGCACAAAATGAGCTATTCTATACGTTTAACGGACATCATTTTCACGTACAAATAATAATGCGTAATACGTTTGATGTTTATGAAACGGGAAAGAACGAAAATCAGGTTCGTGTAGTGTACGGATAAGGTTTACTCGAACAGATGATGTTATCGAATCTATGTAATTGTACGTACTCACCACGTGTAGATATTATATAGCCCACTGATGGCAACAGGTATTTGGTGATTCGTTTTCGAGATAAAATAGTTTTTTCGAAATCACCCGTGATATACGATACAAACGATGCGATTCGGAGGTGTTTTAGAACAGTTCTAAGTTTGGTGAACGCGAAGTTTGATTAAAGTTAAACGATTTTCGCGCGTTTCGAAATCGGTCTTAGCGTCTTACACGCGCATCGCGCATGGATACATAAATAATAGTTTTTTTTTTTTTTCTTTCTCCGTCCGTGTCCGAGGCAAACGGTTTTTTATGGCGGTCGGTAACGGCCGCCGGAGACGTTGTATTGCTTTCGTTTTCAACCGTATACGCGATAACCGCACCCGCGTCCAACATGACTTGTCGGGGGCGAGGGTGAGGGGGTGGTAAGCGTTCGTGTCGTCGACTACAACGTTCGAACGGCCGTAACGGGGTTGACGCGCAGCAGTGTACCTGTATAGCATCCGTTCCTGTCGGTCGGCCTCCTGGTAGATGCGGTAGTACGTGAACAGCATGATGACGCCCGGCACCCAGAACGACACGCTGGACGAGACGACCGCGTACTTCTTGTTGACGACGAACGTGCACACGTGCGGGTTGCGCGCCCGGTCCTTGACGTGCTCGTCCGTGGTGTACCAGCCGGCGAATATGGGCGCGAACGATATGAGCACGGGCGACACCCAGACGGACGCGAGCATGACCACGGTGCGCGCCTTGGTCATGATCAGCGGGTAGTCCAGCGGCTGCACGATCGCGTAGTACCGGTCCACGCTGATGCAGCACAGGTGCAGTATGGACACGGTGGAGAAGTACACGTCCATCGAGTTCCACACGTCGCACATGAACCGGCCGAACAGCCAGCGGCCGGTCACCTCGAAGCTGGCGTTGAAGCACATGGCGAATATGGCGACCAGCATGTCGGCCAGCGCCAGCGACACGACGAAGTAGTTGGTGATGACGCGCAGCTTGCGGTGCTGCATCACGCTCACCATGACCAGCAGGTTGCCGAACAGCGCGGCCACCACGATGAAGCACATGGCCGCGCACTTGACCGCGTACCCGAGCAGCCGCACGTCGTCCGCCAGCCCGTGGAGCACGTGGCCCGCGAGGCCGGCGAGGCCGTCGGACGCGCTCGCCGCCACGCCCTCCGTGGCCGCCGACGTCACCGGCGTCGTCCTCGCGGTCGCGGT